GTCTGCATCGCGTCGCCAGCCGTGAACCTGAACACGGCGTCGGCCGGCGCCGAGGCGCCGGCGGCCGTCATCAGGTGCATGACTATGCGGTCGCGGTATGCCGCATCGATCTCTCCGTGCTCGGCCAGCTCGTTCGCGAGCCAGTCCGAGGCGACGGTCGTCGCCACGGTCCCCTGGGGAACTGTGGCGTACACCTTGCTGGGGCCGCGTCGATACCCGTCGTCCCTCTCCGGGGGCAGCGAGTATTCGACCCCCATTTTGGACCCGGCCTGGCTGCGCGCCTGCGCAGCTGCAGACCGCAGCCCGGCCATCACGTACTGGATGTTCTCGCGCAGCTGCGCCCGCGGGGCCTCCGCGCGCTCGGCCTCGCTCGCGGCGCGCTCGCCAGCCTCCGTCGCCCGGCGCGCCTTCTGCCGGTCCTTCTTGGCCTTGCGTGCCGCGGCTCGAGCCGCGAGCTGCTCCTTGGTGGGCTCCTTCTTCTTCGGCGCGGTGCGCTCGATGTACGAGCGCTCCGCCGCCTGCACCGACTCGCGGTCGCCCGCGGCCTTCTCGTGCTTCAGGTCGACCTCGATGGTCGCGTAGCCAGGCCTTATCACCCTGACACAAGACGCACCGAACAGCCTTGCGACACTCACCGCGTCCTCCAGTTGCGCGCGATCGGAGCTATTCCAGCGTCCGCTGCGCATCCCCGGCGGCACGACGGTGGCCGGCGCTTGCGCGCCAGCCCCGTCCGCCGCCGGGTCCGCGGCCGCGGTCCCTGTCATAGCTACGCGCGCCATGGAGAACGGCGGGCACTTTACTTGTGGCGAGGGGCGCATGCCATGTCCATGTACTCCATCCGGCGACTGCAGCGCATGCTGCACTGCTGGCGCCGTCGTGGTCGCCAGCTCCGCTGCCATCCCTGCCATGTCGCTGTCACTTGCAGGCAGATCACAAGCTCCCTCTCCAGCAACAAGAGACCCCGCTGCCTCCTCCACGCGCGATGCCTGCGACGCGCGAGACGCCTCTAGGTCTGCTAGTGCCCGGTTGAGCGCCTCCTTTTGCTCTCGGAACACTGCAGCAGGCAGCGGGACCATCTCCGCACACGCGATCGCATTCTTGAAGATCACGTTGGTAACTCGCCTCCGCTCACCCTCCGTGGAGAAGAGCTCGGCGAGCTCTTTCTCCGAGACCTTCCCTGCTTGCGTGCCAGAGCTGCGCTCCTGCCGCAGCCGCAGCGCGCACGCAAACACTCCCGCAGGGGTGAACTCGTAGCCACCTTCCTGCTCCCGGAGCCGTTTGGTCGCCGCCGCCGCCGCTGTCACACTGCCGCTCGCAACGCCGTCACCGCTGGTGGAGCCTCCGCCCGCCCAGTCTGCCACAGTAGCCGCAGACGCCGCCTGTTGCTCCTCCGCCTCCACTTGATTCCCAAAGTTAATCTTCATTGCGAAGAGGAAGTTGGCACCCGTTGCCAGCGCCGCATCCCCAAGCCGTCCTAGGTCGACTCCCTGGCTCGCCAGGTGCCTCTGCACCTCTGGGTCCGAGAGCGGCCTCGTCGCTGGGAACCCGCCATCCGTCTGCAGCATGCACGAGAGATCAAAAGTCTCGGCGTCTTGAGACGCCGGCTCCGCGTCAGCCTGCTCCTTCTCCAGCAAGTACTGCACAACCCTGTTCCCGCAGGCAGCAGCCCCAAATGTCGATCCGACTGACTTCTTCAGCTCCCTCGCCGGCACGTCGTCGAACCGCACGTAGTCGTCGTGGATGTTCTCCCCGGACGTGCTATTCGCCCATCGCCCGTCGTGCGTGGAGCGCGATTTAGTCAGACCCAGCTCCGTGTCGGCGTAG